GACGTCAGAAAGAACTTTTTCAGTGTCAGAGTAGTTAACAGATGGAATGCATTAGGCAGTGATGTGTGGAGGCTGACTCCATACACAGTTTCGAATGTAGATATGATAGAGCCCAGTAGGCTCAGGAATCTGTACACCAGTTGATTGACAGTTGAGAGGCGGGACCAAAGAGCCAAAGCTCAACCCCCGCAAACACAACTAGGTGAGTACACACACATATATATGCCGGGCCGAAGTCATAATTTATGACAACGGATCAACACGAGGCCCGGTCAACACGAGGCCCGGTCAACACGAGGCCCGGTCAACACGAGGCCCGGTCAACACGAGGCCCGGTCAACACGAGGCCCGGTCAACACGAGGCCCGGTCAACACGAGGCCCGGTCAACACGAGGCCCGGTCATAAATTTTACTTACTGACCTGTTTTTATTGCACAGTCCCGCCACACAACCAATCTTATACCTATTTAGGCAGTCAAATAATATTAGTAATTTTTATAACTAACTTACTCTGAACAAATCCACAAGGGCCGTGACGAGGATTCGAACCTGCGTCCGGGAGCATCCCAGACACTGCCTTAATCGACTGAGCTATGATGTGTCGAACCTGTGTCTGGGATGCTCCCGGACGCTGGTTCGAATCCTCGTCACGGCCCTTGTGGATTTGTTCATTTGATGCATCACGTTAGTGTGATCTCTGTGTGTAACTTACTCTGTAATGTTTGTCACTCGTGTCTGTTGTCTGCTAAGGTCGCCGTGAACTCTCAGTAATGATATTTATCTCTTAATAAATGTTGGGGCTATGGAGTGGGATCGAACTGGCATCCCTGGAGCCTCAGACACACGCATACAAACTGGACATGTTATGGGGAAGAACATGGTTGTTATGGGGAAGAACATGGTTGTTATGGGGAAGAACATGGTTGTTATGGGGAAGAACATGGTTGTTATGGGGAAGAACATGGTTGTTATGGGGAAGAACATGGTTGTTATGGGGAAGAACATGGTTGTTATGGGGAAGAACATGGTTGTTTAGGGGGAAGAACATGGTTGTTATGGGGAAGAACATGGTTGTTATGGGGAAGAACATGGTATTATGGGGAAGAACATGGTTGTTATGGTAAAAGAACATGGTTGTTATGGGGAAGAACATGGTATTATGGGGAAGAACATGGTTGTTATGGTAAAAGAACATGGTTGTTATGGGGAAGAACATGGTATTATGGGGAAGAACATGGTTGTTATGGTAAAAGAAACATGGTTGGTATGGGGAAAGAACATGGTATTATGGGGAAGAACATGGTTGTTATGGTAAAAGAACATGGTTGTTATGGGGAAGAACATGGTATTATGGGGAAGAACATGGTTGTTATGGTAAAAGAACATGGTTGTTATGGGGAAGAACATGGTAATACGGGTTACTGCGCGACTTACATGGAGATGCAGTCACCAGTTATTGCGCTGATGAGTGTTCCTGTACCTCTATGTGAGTGCAGCTGAGACAGAGCTGGTACTACCTTGTTGACCAGACCACACGCTAGAAAGTGAAGGGACGACGACGTTTCGGTCCGTCCTGGACCATTCTCAAGTCGATTGAGAGATTCTCAATCGACTTGAGAATGGGCCAGGACGGACCGAAACGTCGTCGTCCCTTCAATTTCTAGTGTGTGGTCTGGTCAACATACTTCAGCCACGTTATTGTGACTCATCGCCTGCAACTGGTACGACCTTTCCCGATGTGTATTAACTCACATACAGACGAGGAGTCACAATAACATGGCTCAAATATGTTGAGCAAACCACATACTAGAAAGTGAAGGGACGACGACGTTTCGGTCCGTCCTGGACCATTGTCAAGTCGATTGTGATCATAATCGACTTGCGAATGGTCCAGGACGGACCGAAACGTCGTCGTCCCTTCACTTTCTAGCGTGTGGTCTGGTCAACATTGACTGACATGTTTGTGTCAGTGGCCAGTCATCTGGGAGACCCGCCAGCACTGAACAAATCCACAAGGGCCGTGACGAGGATTCGAACCTGCGTCCGGGAGCATCCCAGACGCTGCCTTAATCGACTGCCAGCACTGTTCTCAACCATGTGTCTAGCCTCAGCTGACACCTGCGCCATCTGTCTTTATGCCAAGGAAACTTACGGGTGATATTTGCTTGTACTGCGTCTCCTATCATGGAGCACACTTAAGGGAGAGCGCTGTAGTGGAGTGAGGGAATTAGCATTTTGGGGATTTTGTGAAACAGTTCTTTGCAAATTGCATTATAAGTTCTGGAATTAGTTGGGTAGGATGAATGTGATCGAGGGAGGTGGGCTGTCCTTGTAACACTGGAGGTGGGCTGGCCTTGTAACATGTGAGGTGGGCTGTGCTTGTAGCACGGAAGGTGGGCTGTGCTTGTAACATGTGAGGTGGGCTGTGCTTGTAACACTGGAGGTGGGATGTGCTTGTAACATGTGAGGTGGGCTGGCCTTGTAACATGTGAGGTGGGCTGGCCTTGTAACATGTGAGATGGGCTGTGCTTGTAACACGGGAGGTGGGCTGTGCTTGTAACATGTGAGGTGGGCTGTGCTTGTAACATGTGAGGTGGGCTGGCCTTGTAACATGTGAGGTGGGCTGGCCTTGTAACATGTGAGGTGGGCTGTGCTTGTAACACGGAAGGTGGGCTGTGCTTGTAACATGTGAGGTGGGCTGTGCTTGTAACACTGGAGGTGGGCTGTGCTTGTAACACGGGAGGTGGGCTGGCCTTGTAACACGGGAGGTGGGCTGTCCTTGTAACACTGGAGGTGGGCTGTGCTTGTAACACGGGAGGTGGGCTGGCCTTGTAACACGGGAGGTGGGCTGGCCTTGTAACACTGGAGGTGGGCTGTCCTTGTAACACGGGAGGTGGGCTGTCCTTGTAACACGGGAGGTGGGCTGTCCTTGTAACACGGGAGGTGGGCTGGCCTTGTAACACGGGAGGTGGGCTGGCCTGTAACACGGGAGGTGGGCTGGCCTTGTAACACGGGAGGTGGGCTGGCCTTGTAACACGGGAGGTGGGCTGGCCTTGTAACACGGGAGGTGGGCTGGCCTTGTAACACGGGAGGTGGGCTGGCCTTGTAACACAGGAGGTGGGCTGTCCTTGTAACACTGGAGGTGGGCTGTGCTTGTAACACTGGAGGTGGGCTGTCCTTGTAACACGGGAGGTGGGCTGTGCTTGTAACACGGGAGGTGGGCTGGCCTTGTAACACGGGAGGTGGGCTGGCCTTGTAACACGGGAGGTGGGCTGTGCTTGTAACACAGGAGGTGGGCTGTCCTTGTAACACTGGAGGTGGGCTGTGCTTGTAACACTGGAGGTGGGCTGTCCTTGTAACACGGGAGGTGGGCTGTGCTTGTAACACTGGAGGTGGGCTGTCCTTGTAACACGGGAGGTGGGCTGTGCTTGTAACACTGGAGGTGGGCTGTCCTTGTAACACGGGAGGTGGGCTGTGCTTGTAACACTGGATGTGGGCTGTCCTTGTAACACTGGAGGTGGGCTGTCCTTGTAACACTGGAGGTGGGCTGTTCTTGTAACACGGGAGGTGGGCTGGCCTTGTAACACTGGAGGTGGGCTGTGCTTGTAACACAGGAGGTGGGCTGTGCTTGTAACACTGGAGGTGGGCTGTGCTTGTAACACTGGAGGTGGGCTGTCCTTGTAACACTGGAGGTGGGCTGTGCTTGTAACAAGGAACAGACGCTGGAGACTAGCCTCGCCCAATATTAGCCTCGCCCAATATTTCACGGTAATTGCTTTTGGGTACGTGCCCAACATGGGCGGATCAAAATGTTCATTTCAAAAAGTGTCACATGACACTGTGCCAGATTGACGCCCGCGACGAAACTTGTTATACCATTATGACTCATTATTTTACAGTTTTTTCATAATGTAAAATATTAGGACCTTGTTATGCAAAATTTTTAAATAAGTTAATCATAATACTTGTCCTTTAATCTTTGAAGCGTAAATAAATTATGAGTTATTTAGAGTGCCATCTAAATAAAGGCCGCTGTCATGGCCCTTCCTCAGAGTGCCAAAACTGACAGAAAATGGCGTACCTAAACATCCGAGCCTAACCCAACCTAACCTATCCTAACGTATCCTAACCCAGTGATCAAGACATAGAAAATGTCAATGTGAGCAACAATGATTTATAGTACATCATATTTTTAGCGTTAGGGATTTTGGCCTCAAAATTGCAATGAATTGTTTGAGTGGATCATTTGGAAGATAATGATGGATGTACCGAATGTGTGTTAAGGGTTGTTATAGTATTTTTAGACGGGTAACCGGCAGTTCCCGGGTCTGTGTCTGTTCTCCCCCCCCCCCCCCTCCACCTTTTCCCTCATTTTCCTCCCCCTGTCTCCCCTCATCTTCCTCCACCCCTGTCCCCCCCCCCCATCTTACACCTTCTCAACATACTAAGACTACTCACTATCTGCATCATCTTCATCACTTTAACCCGACTGAATTCATTTCATTTTCAATTAAATCATAAAAAATTCACTTATAAACAGAGGGAGCCACTTTAGAAAATCTACGGAAACACACACCCACTATTTCATTTCGAACTTCATGAAAAGTGCATGGGGGGAAATTAGGATAAAGCCCAGTATTTTTGTCAAATGTGCCACTGGAGCCAAGTTCGACTGTCCTATGTCTATCCCGAACCTCAGAAAGTTCACCCTGCAAAATTAGGCGAGGCTAACGCCAAGTATGTGACTCCAATCTTAGACAAACCGACCCTCTCTCTCATTGATATTGATTGTGCTATTGCAGGAGAGGGAGGAGTGTTAGGGAGAGAGAGAGAGAGAGGCGAGAGGAGACGAGAGGGAGAGGACGGGAGAGGGGGAGGGGAGGACGAGGAGAGGAGTAGAGATGGAGAGAGAGAGAGAGAGAGAGGAGAGACGAGAGAGAGTGAGTGAGTGTTGAGGGAGGGAGGGAGAGAGAGAGGGAGGGAGAGGGAGGGAGAGGGAG